TGAAAGGTCTGTCTCCCGACCCTTGAGCTGTCCCTGCCCGTTCTCTTTTTGATAAGCCCAAGTTAATAAGCTTAGGAAAAATAAGAACCTATAGTGAAACTATGCGAGAAGTCAAACTCAAGCATAGTGAGATTTGATCCATCTCTGTTTTGTGAGGAGAAAACCAGATGTTGTCCTTTTTGCAGAGTCAGTTACCAATTCATGACATGATGGAGCAGCTTCATTCAGGGCATGACAAGAATTTTAACTGGCACCTTCCAGCTACAATCTCAGTTATGCACACACCCACATAGTCTGCTTCATGGGCTAGTGAATGAAAATTCACATGACAGACTGCAGTTCTGAGTTTTAAAATAGCTTTTCATTTTGTTAAAGAAATTACAATTTTTTGAGTCTTGAAAAGAAAATGCCAGCTAACAGCAAACAGAGCCAAGCATGGTGACCCACCTAGGCCACTCAGCAAGACCCTGTCTCCGAATTAATAAAGAAAATGTGGGGGCCGAGCCCACGATGTAGCTTAGGGCCGAAGCCATGGCTTCAGTGTCCAGTCCTGCGGGCAAGCAAGCAAGCGTGCACACCACATATGAAAAGGGGACAGGGCAGGGAGAAGATGATAATGAGAACAGAAGTTGAAAGGACGAGCTTAAAGTTACAGACAGCCCTGCCCCAGCACGGCTCACTCCTTAACAACGTTTGCACTGTGCAGAATGGTGCACAGAGGGCTCGTGCAGCTTCCTGGGAGAATGGTTTATGGCACTGTGGTCAGGAGCTTCATTAGTGATGCAGAGATCGGGAGCTTTGTCAAGTAGTTCTTGAAAAGTACATAAGCACTAGAACAAAGTGCTCGTTTTCCTTAAAAAGAACTGGCAGATGCCCTGCGAGGTAGACATGGGAGGGTTGCAGCCTGGGAGTCATTAAGACATGGTGGAAGGGGGCAATGTGCAGCCATGCAGGAAGGTATAGTGCTGGCGGATGTTGGGCATGTGTTCCTCGTAGCTCCCAGGTAGCTAGTGCTGCCAGGGGCAGTTTGCTACTCCACCCAGTGTTGCTTCTGGACGAAAGCAGAGGCAGAATTTCATTATGGCCAGCATTCCTCATTGTATCAGTGGTTTTGGAATGAATCTGTATTCCCAGTTCAGGCATTGTTTAAAATGTTTTAAAGCTAGAAAACAACCATTAGCAGACTTGATTATATTTAATCAGATTGAGATTGTGTGTGTGTGTGTGTGTGTGTGTGTGTGTGTGTTTAATACAGGGTCTCATTACACAGATTGGACTTGTAGTGAGCCTTCTTGTTTTTCAGCCTCCCGAGCTCTGGGATTACTGGTGCATGCCACAATACCCAGTGTCAATTATCATGCCCTGGGGGTGGGGCCTGAACAGCAGGCACTTTAATCCACTGAGCTATCTTGCCAGCCCCTAATCAGATTGAGATTTTAAATCAATCATTTGATCTTAAGAAAAAATAAAAATGCAACTTTGGGCTTCATCTTGGTAACCCCATGCCAAGTCTGAAATGTTGGCATTTTAGACAAGACACCTAACTTATCAGATTTTCGTGTCCAAAGTACCAAGAATGCTTCCAAGACATTTGGCAGAATAGACTCCCTGTGGGCGGCTTCCTCCTGATCACATGGCTGGCTGGGAGCTGGCTTTCCACACTGCCCAACATCAAGAACCCCAAAAAGACCAGGACAGCTCTCTGAGTGCAGATCACTGTGCACCAGAGCAATACTGAAAGGGAGTTAGCTGTCAGGAGCTGAGAACCACACATATATCTGCCTTGAGGCAGCTATTTGAGAATTGGGATGCCCAAAGAATAAAAGGAGTACAGTGTATTTCTCGTTCCCAAGTTCTACCTAGGGTTTTTTCTTCTTTTTGTAACATAGATGTGAAATCATTTCTTTAGTGTATTGCCTGGGGTCTAACACGAGACTTTCTGTGGATGATCATAGGTAAAAATAATTAGTATTTTGTCATTTTAATGCTTATCAGAAAACATAGAGCAAGGTCATTAATGTCCTCTTCGGTGGCTGTCTGGTCTTGGGAAAGTAACTCTCATTTGAGGGTGGGGATACTTCCCATCACTTTGGGGCCTCTCTCAAATGATAGGGGTGGGAGAGACAGAGGTGTGACTGACCATCAGGGCGCTGGAATGCAGAGTTGTCCTGTCCCGGGTACCCAGAATGCCTCCAAAAGATTTGGCAGTATTAGACTACCGAAGGAAGAGGGACTTTGAAGAAAATTGCTGAGTTTTTAAAATAGTGTTTTATGTAGCTTTGGTGAGAATGATGGATGAAAATAGCTTGCAGTTGGTACAGGTCTGTAAAACACTGTTAAGGACAAGCAGTGATGGGGAGCTGTGTCTGGCATGCCCTTGTACATAGGGCTGCACCACCGTGACTCACTCAGCCACAGATCACGGTTCTAGGGTATCCACTTGGTCTCGGTCAGGCTCCCAGTCGTAGCTGCACAGGAGTGTCACGCAGGGAAGCCTGTGGAAGTGGATACCAAAGCCACGCTTCAGACTACCTATGTCACAGAGCGTGGGTGAGCGATGAGCGTGTCGGTACATTTAGAACAGCCCAGGCCATTCCTGTGTGTAGCCCAGGTCGGGAACCACTGGTCTCAGGCCTTTGGGAAATCCGTCCTCTTCCAAAGCTGGGCCAGTCTTACAGATGTTAACTGAAGACAAATGTTACATGGCCTGCCTTTTAAAGAAGATGGGAAGCAAGGCTCAGGGAAGCCCCTCCTCTCAGTGGTAGGAAGCAAAACCGGAAACATGTTTATGATTGTAGTGACAGGTGCTACAGCGTGGAGGGTGTTCACAGTGATTCAGAAGCACAGGAAAGGGACTACATTTAAAACAAAACACTTCGGGCTGGTGAGACGGCTCAGTGGACTGAAGCACCTACTTAGGCAAGCACAGGGACCTTGGGTCGATCCCCAGCACCACACGCCACACCCCTAGGGATGTACAGTTTACATGTTTACAGCTTTGTTTCCTACCATGGAGGGGAGGGCCTTCCCTGAGCCTTGCTTCCCATCTTCTTTTTTTTTTATGTTTTTTTTTTTTTTTTGTGGAACTGAGGATTGAACTCAGGCCTTTGCTCTTGCCGGGGAAGCACTTATTCCACTGAGCCATCTCCCCAGCCCCTCCATCTTCTTTAAAAGGCAGGCCATGTAACATTTATCTTCAGTTAACATTTGTAAGACTGGCCCAGTTTTGGAAGAGGACAGATTTCCCGAGACCAGTGGTTCCCGACCTGGATTACACACAGGCTGGGTGGCCTTGGATGTGGCATGTAGTGCTGGGGATCGACTCTGAGCTGGCCACTAAGACCCGGCGTGGTGACCCATGCCTGTAATCCCAGCACTGGGGAGGCTGAGACAGAAGGATCACTACAAGTCCCAGTTGCCCTGTACCAAATAAATAAGTAGGTGAGTAACACCTTGGGCTCGGAAAATAGCCTTGTGGTTTAAGTATCTGCCTAGCAAGTTCAAGGACCCAGGCTCAATCCCCAGAACCACATGCTATGCCAGCCCTGCCCCCAGGCATGCTGCGCTGGCCACAAAGGCCAGGCGTGGTGGCCTACACACTAGGGAGGCTGAGACAGGAGGTTCACCTTGAGTCTGATAGTTAAGACCCTGTACCAAATAAATAAAAGATTTTTTAAAAGTAACAAAACACCTCGTGCCCAATTTGAGGAATTATGAAAAGTACTTTGGTTTTCCCTTTGTTAAACACATGTGGGGCCATGAGAAAGAGTTTTAATCACTCATTTATAGATTTTCTGTGGTTGACTTGGAGAATTTCAGTTCTGTCTGCAACAGTCTAGCTTTGTCCTGCTGTGAACCAGGCCCTAAGTACTTCACAAAGCATTGCTAAAGTAGCGGGGGCCTTCCAGAAATAAGCCATCACGGCACTGCCAAAGGCTGCAGACGACTAAGCCGCAGCTCGGAGAGAAGCCACGTGAATAGTGGTTGTAGTCCCTCCTATCATGCTTACCACGCTCTGTACACATCCAGTCTCATGTTCTGACAGGTCAGTATTGGGTTGTGTGTAAAACTTAAGAGCTAAGCAGATATGTGATTATAAATTATGAGTATATTTAAAGACAGCCACTAAGTTGCTGTGACAGGTTCTGAAGTAAATGAAGTTACCAGGAATTGACCTGCTTCTGATGGTAACGTTTTTCAGCAGCTCTTGACTTGTATTAGTATGGAATACCTTACTCCAAGAAAGCCTGAGTCTCCAATGGATAGGGTTAGGCTCAATTAAGCTTTGTGGTCTGTACTTAACCATGAATTATTTCCTGGTTTAAAAAACAGGCATAGCTATTTGTGGTATTTTTGTCTGGCACCTTTGGCGTCTTTGTGGCGTGAACCAGAGCTATGCCACGTGTAGTCAAAGGAGATAATAAAGTGAAATGAGTCCCTGGAATAGTTCAGCACAGATTCTGAAGGAGCCCTAGAAACATTCTTCTTTGGTGTCATTTGCTGGTGGACAATGATAGGGAAAAGAAGGTACAACTTGTTTCGTAATATTTTGCTGTTTTGAAAATTAAAGAGGCCCTATGCTAGAAAGCCAAAGGAAGAAAGAATTCCCATATGATGTCCATCGGCAGAGCTCCACAGATGAGTGGTTCATTTTCCTCTTTCCGAAAGCAGGTTGGAGCCAGCGAGGTTCATTTCTGGCATACCAAGCCAGAAAGGCAGTAAGGCCCGTGTTTAGACTGGTGGTTTCATTTCTTAGTGGGTATCTGTGATAAACTTCTTCATGCTGAGGTGGCAGGACGGGGAAGGCTAGTCCCTAGAGTGCCAGGTAAGCCTGTGCAGGGCCTGCATGTGCCCTTTCCGAAAGCTCCTGCCTTCAGCATAGCCTCACTTAACAACACGACACGTTGTGTCCCAGATGTGTTGATTGCTGGGAACTCCTCCAGAGTTCCATGTAAGATTTGCCTGAAATGTGGTGTCTTTTTTCCTCTTTACCTTTTTAGAAAGAAGACATACCGCATCCAGCACGCCCTCCCTGGCCGTCCCTCCCGCTGCAGCATTCCCCTTCTTCCCTTCCCTGTCCAAAAGCAAAGGAGGTGGTGCAAGTGGAGGCAGCCGCTCTTCCGGCACAGGGGTTGTGAGCACACCTTCATCCAGTTCCAGGTTATTAAAGTCACCCAAAGAGAAACCGCAGCTCAGGGGGAACACAAGGCCAATGCACCCCGTGCAGCAAGGCAGAGGCCCCCACAGCAGAATGTGAGTATTACCAGAGGGCTGTTCACATGTCTGCTGGGAACACACCATATGTGAGGCAAGGCTGAGAGAGCCCCTGGGGAACTTAAGACTATGTTGTTGGCTCCTTTGCTTTCCTGTCTTATCCTAGGGGATTTTTCAGAACAGTAAGATCAGTATTGATAAGGTTAGTAAATATTTACTGATCCTTTACTACAGCAATTTCCTGAGACTAAACTCTGTATTGTGTCATTTAATTATCATAACATCCCTGGTAGGTAGGTATTGTCCCCATTTTCCAAATGCAAAGAAAAAAGATTGAGTCGACATCTGAGAAGACCTCATGTCAAGTAGGCTTGATTCCGGATCCTGCTTGTGTCACTGCCTAGTGGAGGGCTTTGGGCAGAGTGGGTCTGAGTAACAGCCACAATGCAGGGTCATCGGCAGTGTTTGGTTAGTACCTGCAGGTGGCCACCTGTGCAGCCACGAACGGGTGATGGTAAATAAACGACCTCAGTGTCCTGCTGCTCAGCTGGTTTTAAAAGAAGAAGGGACGCCCAGTTGCCACTCCAGGCTAATCTGGGCCCTACAAAGCAGAGAAGTAGTGTGTCCTCCTCCATCTTTTGGGCTTGTGTCACAGCAAAGGCTGAAAGAAGTTCATGCTCTTGGCAAGGCTTGGCAGGTCCCCAGGCTGTGGCAGTGAGCAGTATCTGTGGCATCCTGTAAAGAAGCAGCAGAACACTGTGGAAAACACCTTGCCTCACATGGCACCCCCAGCCCACCGGTGGGTGGCTTTCCCTGCCCGCCTCCCTGTGGAGGGCACACAACACACATCAGTCCCCTGGGCGTTCGCTGGTTAATCTCTGGGCAGCGTCCAGCACCTGCTGCTCTTCCAGAGCTTGCCAGTGGGGCAAGGCCAAGCCATAGTCCAGCATGTCTGCTACTGTCAGGCTGCTCCAGGTACAGCTGTTTGGGGCTGTTTGTCCTGGTTGCTAAGAGCTCTTGCTCATCTGTCAGAAGTACGGCACAGGGAACTTGGCTTTTGGTACTTTATCGCTGCCTCAAAGCTAAAGAAAATACGTACGTGTGACATGTAATTCACTTGCCAGTGTAACAGCCCTGAGAGCACAGATTCCATGAGCAATTTGTAAAACCTCATCGTTCTAGATCTTCCTGTGGAGCTAGGGCTTGTAAAGGACCAGGCCCCTGCTAGCATCCTGCCAACATGATCTAGGTCATCAAGCAGAACGACAGTGTTGGAAGGATTCCAAGTGAAGTCAGTCCTTGTTCGTGGCACAGGTCCTCATCACTGACCTCTGTTCCAGGTGCTTGGGTTCTGAGCTCCTGTGGTAGAAACCTGGCTTTGGTGATGTCTACAGGAGCCTTGCCTTAGAGATAGTTTTAGGCCTCTGTGTTTGATGTTATGAGTTCCCTTAAGTCCTTAGTGACATTTCCAGGAAATACGGTATTTATTCCCTTGGAAGTTTGGTTTGTTTTGATGGCTTCCTTCCTTAAAACAGTGGTTCCTGCGGGTTGTTTTTTTCTTTTTGTTTTTTGCGGAACTGGGGATTGAACTCAGGCCCTTGTGTTTGCCAGGGAAGCGCTTATTCTACTGAGCCATCTCCCCAGCCCCCTGCAGGATGTTCTGTAAGTGCTCTGAAGGGATTCGTTGGTCCTTCCAGGCCTTTTCACGTTTGGCTTGTTGCAAAATTGCATTATCAGGTCCCAAGTGTCCCGTAGGTCCATTTGTACACCAAGCAGATTTAATGGTCCATAGGGGGCCTCGCCTACCCAGCAGGCCTTAAAAGAGGGAATCTGAGAGCCTCACAGGACATCTGAGAGACTGCCCGCGGTTTGCGTGCGTGCCCAGCACACCTGGGCTCTACCATGAGGGCTTCAGCACACTCAGGAACAGATGTTGTTGCTTGCTCCCACCACAGCATGACGCCCTCTGTGAAGGTGGAAAAGATTCATCCAAAGATGGATGGCACACTACTGAAACCCGCGGTGGGGCCAACCTGCCCTGCTCCTGTGAGTTCCTCAGTCAAGCCTGGCCTTAACTGCCCCTCAATACCAAAGCCAACCTTGCCTTCACCTGGACAGATTCTGAATGGCAAAGGGCTTCCTGCACCGCCGACTCTGGAGAAGAAATCGGAAGACAGTTCCAGTAGTAGGAAGTTTTTAAATAAGAGACTGTCAGGTAACTTTGCAGTTCTCTGTTTAAATGGGCTTCCAGAGGGAGCAGGTGGTGTGCTCTGTAAGTCCAGCATCGCCAGAGGAGGACTTTCCTGGGCAGCGCGCAGAGGCTTGTCCCCTTGGGCTTTGAGTTATGTGCTGGGGAGGGGGGTCATGTGCACCGAGTCTATGTGAGAAGAGCTGTCCAATGGGGAGTTCCCGGATATGTTGATGCAGTAGTGCTGACGTGACAGTAGTGAGTTTGCAGCCGCATTGATGTGGTAGTGTTGACATGATGGTGGTGAGTTTCCACATGGATTGATGCCTAAGTGCTAACATGACTGGTGTGTTCCTGGGAAGTGCTGTCATGACGGTGGTGAGTTCTCAGATGCATTGATGCGGTAGTGCTGGCATGATGATGATGAGTTCCCAGATGTGTTGATGTGGTAGTGCTGATGGTGGTGAGTTCCCAGATGTGTTGATGCATGAACACAGACGTGATGGTGGTGAGTTCCCGGATGATGCATGAGTGCTGCCGTGATGGTGGTGAGTTCCCGGATGTGTTAATGCAGTAGTGCTGACGTGACGGTGGTGAGTCCCCGGATGCATTGATGCGGTAGTGCTGACGTGACGGTGGTGAGTCCCCGGATGCA